TACAGCGCAGTGGACATGTCTCACGGGCTTGGTTCGCCCGCAAGGGTTTTCTGTTTTATCCGTCCCTGATATGGGTGTGCCGGAAGCTTTGTCATTGTGTGATGGGTTTGTAATGGAATCCTTTTTTGCCTTTACAGCTGTATTCCGTGATATTTTCCCATTTCGTCATGTCACGAACATACATTACTATTATAAAGCGAAATACTTTCACCGACGCTTTCGTGACCCATGCAATCACTTTATCGTGAATAGTTATCGGAACATATGGACTTTCCCAAGTTGACGATTGCGGTTGACGGTTAACTATAAGAAAATATTGAAGTCAGGGATAGGCTTAAGTTCTGTTGAAAATACACTCTACCTCTTAGGTTTTATTGGATGGATTTCTGTATTTTATGTGAGAGTAATGGTCCGCATCACGTTCATTGGATGATGCGAACCGGCGGTCGCTGGCTGCCCGCTGCCCGACTCTCCCTGACCCGGCCGCTCGGCCGGCAGACATGGTCAAGAACTGTGACCTGATGTGGAAGCAGAGCGTGTGGAGCTCGGCCATCTCTGCCCACCTGGCGGCGCGCGCCCTGAAGGAGGGCGGGCTGCTGCAGCTGACCGGCGCCAAGCCGTCTCTCGGGGCCACCCCAGGTCAGAGCTGGTCATCGGTCTCACCGCGTGCTGTCCGCACCATGCTCTGACAATGGCCAGAGATTCCCACCGGCGTCCGCTGGTCTGGCCGCCAGTGAATTGGCACGTGTCGTGTCCGCCGCGCAGTGAGATGCACTCGGTCAGGTCTACCACGTCTGATGCGTTCGTTCAGCTTTAGCTGCTTCCTTGAGGGGGCTGAAGGAGTCCCCTATGGTTTCTGCCTGTTTTGTCTACGTCTCTATGTCTATGTCTGTGCATTTTGTGAGTCGTTGGTCAGTGTAAAATTGGTGGAAATAGATTATGTACTTACGCGGAAAGTTTCGTTTCGTTGCCGTGTTGTGCTCGGATAATGCAGGGCGGGCAACAAATTGGAGTGCTTTTTGGATTACAGTCGTTCTTTCGGATAACTGAGCGGTCGGCATGGCTGGTTTATCGCATGGCCAGATTTACAGATGCAAGGCGCTTATTTCCATGCCTTTTACACTCTTCTAAACTTAAAAGATTTGTCTTAAAGTTCGTTAATATGAATCTGTCCTCTGAAAACAGCTTTGATGTATTGCAATGTAAGAAGAACAGTTATGTGTGGCTACTGGCCAATGACACATGGTCCCATGTGACTGCTGACCGAGTGCACATGCTGTGTGGCTGCTAACCGAGCGCACGTCCCGCGTGGCTGCTGACCAAGTGCACGTACCGCGTGTGGCTGCTGATCGAGCGCACGTCCCATGTGCGGAGGTGGCTGTGCGTTACTATGGGCGTGCCGCGTCGCCGCAGGCATGCTGGGCTACGGTATGGCGAGGCGGCGGTGCACCAGCTGGTGCGGTCGCTGGGCGCCGAGGAGAGCGGCCTGCCGCCCGCCGCCACGGCGCTGGCGATCCTGCCCGTCACGCTGGACCGCCCATGAACCGCAAGTTCATGCCGGACGCCGACCACACCAGCTTGACGCCGCTGGACTACGTGGCCGGGTGAGTCGCCTCCCTGGTCGGCGTCGGCCGCCGCCCCTCCCACCAGGGCGGCTGGCGAGGGCCGCCGGACCCCGGGGCCTCCGGCTCGCGGGCTGGCTCGCCAGTCACCGAGGAACGTGATTGATGGCATAGGCGTATTCATCGACCTGTGGACCTGGAGACGGTCATACGATGTGTGGGATTTTCATGCCCCACAAGCGACTGGTGAATCGGTCGGTAGGAGGCGTGTCTTTGCTCTGTGAACTATGCATGGACGTCGAGCGGCGCGTGTGATTGGCCCACAGCGCAGCTGTCCCGGCAGCCGTCCGTTAAATCGATTGGAAGGGGTTCCATCTTTCAGTGGTGTTGACCCCATGTTAACTGCTCCCGGTTGGTTTGAGTGCATTGTTCATTAACCAGCTATTTGCTTTGTTCACCCGTGTAGCGTGTGGCCACGTGTTATCCCGGCTTGTTTGTTTTCATCCGGCTCGTTTGGTCTCCTTGCTCCCACTCGCCGTCCCTTCAGCCCCCTTATCTCGCACGCCTGTGGCCTGTTGCCAGCTGTCGCCCAACCGTGGCGTAGCGCGTGGTAGCGATGTTGCTCTTTCATCACGCATCGGACTTTCTGTTCCATGTTTTGCGTATCCAGTGGATTTCCTCCATGTAAAACGTATTTATTTTCGATGGCCAATACTTTATTTGCGTCTACTTAATCACTTACTGCATTTTATAATTGTTTTTTTGCTGTGGTCGCTCGCACGATGTTTGAAGTTGTTATTGTACATGTCAGGCACTAGTTATGTTGGTGACTGTTTGTTGTCTGGCATTTCAGACTGTTTGCGCAGTGGACTGAGACTGACGACCGCCCCAAAACAGGCAGTCTTGTGCAGCTGATCACAAAGGAGGGCAAAACGGAGCTGATCAACGCCGAGTAGTTGGTCACGGCACCGCTATATGGCAATAGTGGCATGCGCTGCTCGCTTGGTACGCGAATGCTGCATACTGACCGATCTGATCGAGTGATTAATGTCTGTTCGTCTTTGGCTGTCATTTTTTAGCATGTTGTGCTATAACCTGTGCTCTGATAGCGATCAAGGACGTCGTCCAGCAAACACCCCGCAATGTACGTGCAATTTTCGTCTGGGATCTGTGTTGGCTAGTTAAGGGCGAAAGAATAGCTAAAAGTTGACAAATATTTCCGCGAATATTAACTGCCATATAATGGTGCAATATGGACGAACCGACGACTGTTCATTGGTTTATATTTTCTGATGCTGGAAATGGGTCCGATGCATTTGGCCGCCCATAACAAGTAGCGCCGTTTTTTGTTTTTTTTTTAGTCCGGCTCTATAGAACAGGCTTGTTGGACGTGACAAGGGTGACAAATTTGCGAAAGGAGCAAAGACGGGATAACCGGTGACGCGTTTCCAAGGTTGGACTGTTGACTAATGTGCAGCTTGCCATGCTCGCGGGATAGGTTAGTGAGTTAGTATGGTACGACACAGTGCATCTCGTGCCATTCCTGGGCCGGCATTGTTCCCGCCGCCGCGGCGTATTGGGTTACGTGTTTCATCGCTGTCTTCGTCGATATGAGTGCAGCATATGGAGATAACCGCATGAAAGGCCCGAAGCCGGAGGCCGCCACTGAGTGCAACTTTTTGATAATTCTGCATTTCGTTGATGCTATAGCACAGCTTGGCGGTGCCTAAATGGAGAACGTGTGGGAGACATCGCTGCGGAAGCTCCTTGCACCGCCAATGATGCGAAAGCTGTGCACTTTTGCGGCCGCCCGGGTTGCGTTGTTATTTGAAAAGTACTCCAAGCTTTCGAATAGCAACAATCCACGTTGGCCAACGCGAGTCCTTTATTGCTGCCGCATCCTGCTTCTCGGCGGCGCCTTGGCCACAGCCATCGTGCTTGTAGCGTCACGGGCATGGACTCTGCACGCCAATGTTATTTACGGCCAAAATTACGGCACGATATGAACACGTGGCAAGAGTGTCGTGCAGAAACAAAGGCCTCTGTCCGGTCCACTGCAAATTAACAGTGGCCTTCGGCAGTGCACAAGGCACTAGTGTGTCAGTTTTGACATTTCTTCGAATTGCAAACTGAGAATAAGCTTCAGAAGTATGTGGCGATGCTTGCCATTTCGATAAAAAAGATGAAGTGGGTTGGTGGTCAATATCCAACAAAGAACTGAAATGTCATCTGATTCACTCAGAAAATTCGAAAGCCTATTGAGAAGTATCTGGTGCTTCTCGCGCATGCGCCGTGACAAAACCCAAGCACGGAGTCTGGTCGCGTGTCGTTCAAACTTGACATAGTTGTCTGGCTCACTTTGCATGCATTGCCGTATCGTTCGCTGCCAGTCTCTTTACTAACATGTTGTGGTGATGGTCTTCCGTAGCTCTCGACGTGCGGTCCCGGCCGTCGCGCCGCGTAATACTCAGATGCAAGTGTTCGCCAGTAATGTGTCAATGTTGTGGTGTATGCCTTGTCTAATGGGACCAAGAACGATGGCTGTTGGTGTCTGCTTCTGCACTGCGAAAATAGCAGTGCGTGTAATAAATGGTTGTGAAGCACGTGGTCTTGTCAGCACGCGCGGCACTGGGCAGTGGCGCGCCCGCTGGGCACGCCAGAGCAGACACTTCGACCGCCCAGGCGGTCCACTGCCACAGTGAAGTTTGCGAAACACCAGCGTGCTTCGCCTGGGCCACACAAGTATAATACCACCGGGTGTTTTATTGCCACCAACACCGAAAAACCCGACCGCAATACATTGCCCACCGCTCAGGACTGTTGCCACACACGGCCGCCACCAAACGGCGGCAGCGGACACACGCGCCGGCGCCGCGCGGCACCACTCTGATAGCCAGCTGCACCAGCGGAAGCGCTGGTGACGGGCCAGGGCTGCGCGGGCCCCCGGACGCGCCCCGGTGTCGGGCTACCACAGGGCGACCATCAGCAGCGCGACGAGTGACCCCGGGTGACGAGCGGAACGGTTGGCTGCGCTACATCGGCTTCCACCGACCGACGCCGAAGGACGAGGTCGCAAACTGTCGCCCCGCCAGCCCGGTCCTAACATGAGATGTGGCTTGTTACGATGCCATCAAAGACAAAGACGCGCTACATGGCCGGGCAATGGAGTGCCCGAAAGCCCCTCAGCAACACACGCAAATGGGAACCCACAAGACCGGCACACGTGCCACAGCAAACTGCAAGGGACTGTTCGTTTATCTACTTGACTTACACACACGCACACTCACACATCCACGACAAATGCTTTTTGTGTCCGTCGAAATGGATGCGGTGGGTCAAGGACGGATCCAGAACACGATCCGGGGGATAAAGGTGTCCTACTTTTAAAGAAACATCTGCACTTCTCTTTCCTCCGCCTTGATGAGCAGTTGTTCTTACTCCAAATATGCGATCTTGGTGGGGTTGGGGTGTGGGGGGGAAGACTGAGATGGCCTACCCCTTAGATCCCACCTTGACGTAATCAGGCGACACAGAATGACAAATGCTAGGGGCTAAAATATGGGGAAATTAGGGTAGGATAAGTATTTTTTAGGACGGAACATTGACACATGTAGCAACTTCGGCAGTGTATTGCCACCAACGATGTTTCCGCAACGGCGTGCCTTCCAGCAAGGGCTAAGGCTATACGAATATTCAATCTCATCCAAACACGGCAAAAAGCAGGGGATGAACGATGAATGATTCTGCATGATGCATGACGTACTACGCACGACGTTTACAGAGGCCTTGTGTACAGAGACCTTCGTGGCCATTAAGTAGTGACTAGAACTGAAAACCCATGGCCGAACACAGGTTCTTCGGTGCCAAATGCCACCGAATGCTGTAACTAAAGACGCGCGTACGGGCCAGACTGCGCCGTCTCATCAGCCGTTCGAGGCCAGGCGTGTATAACAGTCACAGCTGCTTCACCCACCAGCGGCGTGGTGCACCTGCCTGCAGCTGGCACCACTGCACCCGCCGTCGGAGGGCGCCCGGCGTACACGGTCAGACCGCACCAGCAGCACCTCCACTTCGGCACGCGCTGCGGTGAGCGCGCACACACCGGGGTCGTCCCCTCCCCCTCCCCCGCTGACTGGAGGCTGCTGCCTCCCGAGGCACCCCACCTCTTCTCAGTCGCCATCGTATGACATGGTAGCCGCCGGTGGAGTGGGCTGGGGCGGCGGGAGCGGGAGCTCCGCCCCGCAGGCCGTGGCTAGAGCGGCGCCGCCTGACGCGCCGCTCGTCCGGGGCTCACCAGATGATGCGCTGCAGGCCCGGCTGGTCCTCCCACGTGAACGTCTTCACCGTGAACAGGTACAGCGTGGCGGCGTTCACCATGGCGTACAGCGCGCACTCGGCCAGGCACGCCAGCGCCCCTGGCGGCCGCAGGTGGAGGCGCAGCAGCAGAAACGGCAGGATGAAGTAGCGGAACTCCAGCAGCCGCTGCGGCACGAGCGCCGCAACCGCGCCGGCCGCCAGCACGGCGCGCTGCAGCAGGGGTCGGCGCGCGCCGCCGGCCGCCATCAGGCAGAGCGCCGCCAGCGAGACGGGCACCAGCGCCAGCCGCCGGCTCGGGTGGCCCAGCCAGCGGCGCCACGCGTAGAAGGCCAGGTGTCGGTTGTCGGCGAGGAGATACGGGTGCGCCGGCCCGGCCGACTGCAGGAGCAGCGCCAGCGCGGCGGCCACGCCGGCCCAGAGCAGCGGCCGCCGGCGCAACGACCGCCACATCTGCCGAGCCGTCGGGTCAGATCAGATCAGGTTAGGTCAGGTCAGGTCAGGTAAGGTCAGGTCAGGTCAGCGTCGAGCGACAGCGGTCGGCGGCACACCGATCGCCACACCTACCGAGCTGTCTGCACGTTAGATCAGGTCAGCCGACGGTGTTGCTCCGGGCCGCCCCATACCATCAGGTCCGCCCGCCCTGACCCGCCCGACCTCGGCCAGCTCACGTCACGCGCGCCATGTGAACGGCGGTGACGCGTCACATGAGACGGGCTCACCGGCGGTATGGCCGCCGGCCTACCGAACGCTGCCTGGCGAGCGCTACCGAACCTGCGGCACGCAAGCCGTCCGCCCGCGTTAGAGGAGCACCCCGGCGTATTCTCTGGCTGCTCTCGGTCCTGCTGCTCTCATCACCCCTGAGCGGCGTTCACCTGGTACCCCCCCCCCCCTCGGGGAGCGTCGGCACCTTCACCTCATCGGCGTCATCCCCCCCCCGAGCGGCGTTTACCTGCCCCCCCCCCTCCGGAGCGTCGGCACCCTTACCTTATCGTCACCACCCCTGAGCGGCGCTCACTTGGCACCCCTCCGGGCTGTCGGCACCCTCACCTCATCGGCATCACCACCCCTAAGCAGCGTTCACCTAGCACCCCTCCGGGCTGTCGGCCCCCTCACCTCGTCGGCGTACTCGAGCGTTAGCGGCGCCAGGAAGCCGGCAGCCGTGGCCAGGAAGTAGAGCAGCTGGGGCGCGTTCAGCACCGCCTCGTGCGCCGACCGGTCGCCCACCACCAGGCCGCCGTTCCAGACCACGAAGGCGGCGAACCCGACGCACACCAGCACGTACTGCACGCCCTCGTACAGCACGTCCGTCAGCGCCTCGGCGAAGTTCAGCGGGTCCTTCTTCATGTGGGCCGAGTAGAAATGGAGCACGTCCTGACGGCGGAGCGGCGCCACGGCCGCCACGTGAGCGACAGGCGTCAACTCGAGATAACGCCGCTACGGATGTAGAACTGGAATACGACACCATCTCGTATCTAGGGCATTAATTCATACGCGCGGGCCACATAATGAGGTTAAGATTTTGCGTTACATTTTTACTTCAAGCATTTCAGGTTGCGACCTAGTGTAACCTGACACGACTAGCTGTTAACAAATAGAGAAAACGCAAAGCGGCGGTCGTAAAAAATACCCACCAATGTTTGGGCGATATTAATTAAACTTGCATTCAGCAGTATCCAATTCATTCAGGATATGACGTATTACAGAACATTCAGTAAAATCGGCTTCAGCATTGGTTTCCTAGGACGTCAAGACCTGGACACAGGCAGGTTTTTGTTCTACCGATGATACATTGATAAAATTGTGAGTGCTGTCTTCCCAATGATCATGCCTCTATCCTTACTTATAACAACTGGCTGAAAATGTAATCTGAGGAAGCAACATTGCATTGTGGATTTTACGTTTCATAATGAAATATAACGCTGCATTGTGGATTTCACGTTTCATGATAAAATTAGTACAATGTGCGATTCCTTGGATTCAAGACATTCATTACTTGTACATTAAGCCTCACGTCTAAGTAGGTTTGCATGAACTCCAACAAGGAAACCTACATTTGCTTGCTCACTCACAGTTGGCACAGACACCGCTTGGTGACCAGCAGTACGCGTCCCTCACGTGATAACACAAGCCTTGACACATCCTCTCTGCTCAGAGTGACCTACGGCGCGTGTCGTCAGCCTTGTGCCTACCCTGCGCCGTGTGAGTGTCGTGTGCCACACGTTTCTTGTGCCCTGTGTCCTCTGTGTCTAGTGTGTCCAGTGTCACGTGTCTAGTGTGTCCAGCGTCACGTGTCTAGTGTGACCAGTGATACGTGTCTAGTATGTCCAGTGTCACATGTCAAGTGTGTCCAGTGTCACGTGTATCGTGTGCCACGTGTCACGTGCCGTGCACCGCTGGCGGTGACTGACCCGCACGATCCGGGGCGAGCACGGGTCCACCGTCTTGCGGCGGCCGGCCGACTTGGAGGCGGCCAGCGTGGAGACCATGAAGTCGGAGCAGGCCAGCGCCGCCAGCACGCCCACCCAGATGACGTTGGTCTGCCGCACCAGCACGGCCACCGCACCTATCCGACGGTATGACGTCAGCTTACTGACCACGCCCAGCTGGCTACCGCGGACCGGATCCGTCCGGGGCTGACCTCAGCCTTCCGACACGCCGCGGGCACGCGCACTGACCAGTCAGCCAAGCATATATATATATATATATATGTATATATATATATATATATATATATATATATATATATATATATATATATATATATATATATATATATATATATATATATATATATATACATACATATATATATATATATATATATATATATATATACATATATATATATATATATATATATATATATATATATATATATATATATAGGTTGGAAAAACTTCTTCCATACAAACATTGTTAAAAAGCCAGGGCGTATTCAGCTGCAGTGAGCTTTCTTTAGGCATGTTCGATCAACTTTATGTTTCGCTAACTTCGTTCCGCAGGTTGAAGATCAATGTGCCAAAATTGATTGTCATATGCTCTATCTTAACGTGCTGGATATACCTGTTTCCATCTTCGGAAGAAGTATAAAAACGGCTGTCAGCACATCGCGCCAAAACATGGCGCAAGGTATTTTAAACAAACGTATCAACCTCACACATGTGACGCCTTTTCATTCGCTCGGCCGATTTGTGAAGACAACTCATGAAATTGCAACAAGAAATACAGCAGTTCAGTCTAGAACAAGAATTGTTGCCCTCCCCCACACCTTCTATAGTTTTTACTGCCATCCCCATCATGCTTAAGTGCCGCACGACTCCGTTTGGTTATAGAGGGATGGAGTGACTTCCCTAAAGTGGAGGGATTCAAACACCATACGCAACCGCTGTTCACGACAGGTTCTTAAGACGTTTCTGTTTTCGGTGATGCCTCTTCGGGTAACTAATCTGTGGTGTTTTCTTCGTAGTGTTGTTGGATGCATCCTGCTCTTCGGCGCATGGCTAAACGTCTGGATAGAGACGTTGTCGTAACGCCAACATGACTTATGTTATTAGGTCTATAACCTTTATCACGACAAACATATTGTCAAATTGCATTGGTTTTCTTCAGTTGGTCTAGGACTAGTTGCAGGTTGTTACGCATGAGGAGATCGCTGATCTTTTTGTTTTTATAATGAATGATAGGTTTCAGATTTTGGTCTCTATCTGCACAAGCTCAAAGTCATCTACGGAGCACAGGAGCACCCAGACAGGAAAATAAGTGAATCTACTCTTACAAGGTCGGCGACCAGACCTTAATGTACAGGACTCATCATGGCTGATCATGCGAATGTGATTGGCTTAATGTGCGACACTTCGTAGCTTAAGATCGTTTCCATGTTTGAGCGATACCTGTCGCGCGACGCGTGATGCCTCTTTCATTGAAATTATTTGCATGCACCAAGTGATGCGTGATCTGTAATCCCTGCTTACTTGAAATCGTTGCCTTAAAGTTGCTTGCATGTATGAATGATGCGTTATGAGTGATGTCTGTTTGCTGAATTGGTTTGCATGTACACGTATTTTTCGCGCATTTTAAGTTTTACACACGCACTGTATCACAGTAATGGCCGGCAAATGCCTTTGTTTAATACCCCGAACGTCGCTGAACTGTAAAAATTGTCTCGCTGTTTAAAAAAAAAAACACTGAAAAATCGCGTAGGATCGGCCAGCAATTTTGGATCTACTACTGGTATTACTTCGATAAAGGCACGTAGTCCAAACGTCAAATTTATCTCTCCATTCTGCTGATTATTCTACGAGGAGTTAATAATCCTGTCTGATCTATATCCATGATGTTCCTCGCGAATCCATTTCACAACTTGCGTAATTTATTTATACAACACTTATCTGTCGGTGGCGCTTTGCCGAATGACGCATTCGTCGACTTTATATGAAGAGACCACTTGATTTTTTAAAGTTTGACGTATTCGTTGTAGGTGCCTCTTGTCTCTTAGAATGTCTTGCCTCTCGTATTCCCGCTTCAGATTACGTCGGATATCCTCGTCCACTTGTAAATTCGAGTATCCGCTGCTGAAGATCTGCTTCACTCTCACGAGCTCCGAGTGGGAAATAAGCCGAGAAGAACAGTATCGAATCACTCAGCGCATAAAGGTTCTGGCCACACTTCTGTTTTACCGGTCGCGACATTCACTGTCGGCATGCGAGCAAATGCTGTCACCAGCCGCCTCACAATGCAGTGAGGTCACAAACCGGTTGGCTTCGGTTTCAATAAGCGCAACAAGATATGGAAGCGTGTTGTCTAAACCGATATAAGTGAATTTGAGAACTGAAGTGAAAACACGTAAGTGAAGAAGAGTTTGCTCTATCTGTGATTTCGATGACGTAAGGTGGTCCTGGTCGCGTACATCAGCAAATATGTCGTCGACGCATATATCAAAGTGTTGGGACTGATAGTAGGATCATCCAATACAGTCTTCTCAACATGACATCTGTAGAAATTTGCAAGCAATGGCCCGAAGGGCGAGCACATTGCAACGTCCTGCTTTTGAAGGAAGAGGTGGCCATCAGGCCTTTGGAATGGTCCTTCTTTGGGGCAAGCAATGAGCAGTTTTTTTAAGCCTCCGCTTAGCAGGTGGCAAGATCTTAATGCTATAGACGTGGCGCAGAATGATTTCGACTGTGCTGTCTATTGGAGCATTAGAAAACAAGCTTTCCACATTAAGACCGGCTGATGTATTAATGGCCTGACGCGTTCGCATTAAGTCAGTGAACTCACCGATGGCTTAGCCAGCTTGTATGGTAGGCTAGTGACTTGCGATATTACAGGCCTAAGTGGCTTGTCTGATTTGTGTTTTAACATTTTGATAGGAATAATCCGGAAACATTACCCTCACATGCAATCTTCTCATGTGTAGCAGCCTGCAGCAAGGGTAAGCTTGTTGTGAAAAAGATTGCTGACTTAACAACATAAGTTACATGGGCGTTACGACAACGTCTCTATCCAGACGTTTAACCACGCACCGAAGACATGGAGTCAATCAACAACACAGGGCAGCAAAACACCACAGACATGTTGCCCAAACATGCTTCACCGAAAATGCAAACGTTTTAAGCACCTGTCGTGACCAGCGTTTCCCCATGGCGTTTGAATCCCTCCACATTAGGGAAGCCACGCCATCCCTGAATAAGCAAATGAAGTTGTGTGGCCTTTTAACATGGGAATGCCAATGGGAACTGTAAAAGGTGTGGGGAAGAGGAGCGTTGCTTGTTCTAGACTGAGCTGTTCTATTTATTGTTGTCATTTCATGAGTTGTCATCTCGATTGACCAGAGCGAATGAAAAGGTGTCACGTGTTTGAATGTGAACTACTTGTTTCAAAACCTTGCACCATACTTCTGTGCAATGTGCTGAGAGCTGTTTTTAACTCATTCCGAAGATGGACAGATATTTCCGAAACGTTAGGACAGACTATATGGCACACAGTTTGTGTGCCTTGATCTACAACCTGTCAAACAAGGTTAAACGAAACATAAGGTCGATCGTGCACACCCAAAGAAAACATATTAAAAGTGAATATGCCCTGATCCTTAACAATGTCTGTATATATATATATATATATATATATATATATATATATATATATAACTGCAATGAATTTCCCTCGTATATGCTACAAAAGCAGCACAGGACACGTTATATACAGGCGGTATAGAAGTTCGGGTCACCAGCCTCATGAGGAGTATCCAACACCATACCACTTGTCAACATACAGCACGCAATGCAAATACAGCACACAATGCAACACAGTCCACTCAACAGCACAGACGCTGTCTCCGTTAACATCCACCAACAGCGACGTGCAAACAGAGGGGGGGGGGGGAAGGACAGATTTGCACATCCCAGCTTCGCAAATAATGTGGCACCAGCCAAAGAACAAAATGCGCACGGAAACCTCTCCCTCCCCCCACCCCTTTGCAAGTTGGCAGGTGTGTGCGGACTGGCCGCTGACTGGCCGTTCGGCGCCAGTCCGGTGAGGCGGTACTGACCGATGCAGGCGGCCGTGCCCGGCTGCCGGTGCAGGTGCAGCGAGTACATGAGCAGCACGCACAGCGTCGACGCCACGTCCGTGTAGTAGAGGAACGAGAACGTGTAGAGCACAGGGAACGAGGCCAGCGTGAGCGATGTCACCAGGTGGCGCCACTCGCGCGACTCCTGCCGGCAGACCGGACCACACGGTCAGGCGGGGATGACTGACTGAACCACACGGCCCGACGGGGATGACTGACTGGGCCACACGGTCAGGCGGTGATGACCGACTAGCCCGCCCACGACCGTCGCCTGCCGGCGCCAGGGTCCGGCTAGCCACCGCGCACCCGGGAGCCCCCTGAGCGGCCACACACTGGCACCGCCCTGCCAAGTACGGAGCCAGCCACTCCCCATGTTCGGTCGTGCGGGCAGCCTTTTTCGCAGTCTCTGCCACAGTTCATACAACAACAGCGCACGGCATCGAACGTCGGATGGGATATTGTTGCTGGTGTTTGCTGCGGCATGAGCAATATTGCAAGTAACGCGGCTCGCTTTGATACACCTGGGACCATAAAGTGCAACGCCAGGCGACCACAGCTCTTTACCGATCGACTCCAGAAGGCAGCAGGCTACGATGCCCTCCTCACCTCAGTGTTGAGCACCTTGAGGATGCTGTAGATGACGACCAGCGTGATGACGGAGAAGAGGAGGTTGACCATGCGCAGGAGGTAGACGGTGCAGGAGGGCGGCTCGAGGCCGGACAGGTAGCCCAGCAAGCCCACCGACAGCAGGTACAGGCCGGGCAGCGTGGTGATCTTGGGGTCCCACTGCGCTCGGCGGCGGAGCAGGCGTAGGCGCGCGCCGTCAGCACACGCGCCGCAGCCGGTCATCACCCCCACTGACGCCTGCCCTACTCTCACACAGTCCACAGTCAGAATAATTCTAGCCGATCGCCTGATTCGTTGCCTGCCTTTTATGAGTTCAAGCGCAAACAAGCCAGCACAGTGTCACACCCATAAGAACAGGTGAGCGAATTCGTCAAAAATACTTTGGGGTGAGGTACTGGTGACTGGTGTGGCCGACCACACTTATCAATCCGGCGTGAGGGGAGGGGAGGGAGGACTTAGCTTCATATGAGAAGAAGGTCACAAGATCATGTGTGGAAGAACCCGACATGAGACAAAGACGAAGCCAACAACGCATCCCTCACTTCAACTGGCAACAACACGCTCTCAAACCGGACCGGACGCAAACCGGACCAGAACCCCAAGTGTGCTGGAGTCAGTGCGGGACGGGTGCGCGGCACGCAGCGACGACCGCCAGCTCGCCCGCGGTCGCGCGGCGGCCGGACCACGGCCTAGCACACCAGCACGCGGCGTCGAGCCGCACCTGCGTGTAGTTTCCGGCGCAGAACTGCTGGCACTGCGGGATGTGGAACGCCTCGTCGATGAAGGGCGTTGGCTGCAGGGCGTACACGTGGTGGAACACCAGCAGGGAGGTGCCGCTGAACACGGCCACGGCGGCCAGCAGGCCCGCCGTGTACCACTTGACCTCCATGGCGGGCTGCTCTGCGACAGAGACGCCACGGTAGTGTCTGGTGGTGGCCGGGGCTTCAGGAGAGCAGCCACTCCAAATGGCATTACTTAGGGCATGCCTACAAAACAATCCAATGTTGTGTGCTCCCGAATGACGATGAAATTAACGTAGCAAAGTACGGCTGTTCAATGCTGCTTAGGACCTCGATAAGAGTACAACTGCCATTTGTGCACAAGGCTGGGGGTGCATGGGTAGGGGCTTTGACTCAACGCACCACACCAAGGGGCATAATCTCACACAGTTTATTTTAGTAGCATGATAGGAAAAAGGGCCTAAACTTTTCCACAAAATGCATTTTAGAAATGGACTTTCTATGAATCTAACACAATTGCCCTTCAGCTTTCTTGGGTGTGGAGGGGCCTGAATCTACCTCACAGCTTAACTTACAATCCTGAAATCACACTCCTAATTTCATCATTATGCCAGTTATGGCATAATGCAATATGCTACATCACCAATGCTTCATCTACATGGTAGGGCCCATCCTGTTTAAGATGCTGAGAGCAGGCTAGGAGAGTGCCCATCTGCATGGTCAAATGCTCCTCTATTATTCACGTGCATTAGCATATGATTTCACAACAGAAATTCATTTGTCTGGGTAAACACACTGACAGTGATAATCTTTCCTCATTAGGATGGTGCTTCCTCTAGGCCAGCTGTTTCCTTGATATGCTTGTCAAGTTCAGTGACGACCACACTAAAAAAACTATAGCCAGATGTTCTGGCAGTTTATGAGATCATAAGACATGCTGAGCATTATGTGAAGTAACAGATGCTCAACAAATTGCTGTTAATATACCTAGCATCTAAAATGGGCTTAGGTGAATGCATGGCACAAGATCAGGTGTATGCCAGCAACAGGATTCAGGTACATGTACAGGGTATCCAGAAATTGATGTGTGATTGTATCATCCTAAGCAATGGAGAAAATAAATGAGACTGGTTCATGATTTATTTGCCAATGTAATCCCCACACAGTCTTATGCACTGCAGCATGTGCTCCGGCATGCCACACACCAGGCTGTTGAGTCTCTGCCTTGACATTTCGCCACGCTGCTAACACGTTTTGGAGCAGGGCCTTCTCTGGAGTGGCCAGCGACATCTTGCTGAGCTCCCCTTGACGATCGCCAGAGATTCTCGATCGGCGACATGTCGGGGCTGTTCCCTGGCCACATGCCCTCCTCCCAGAAGCCTGAGAAGTTGATGGGGCACCAGTCCTGGGTCTTCCTGCATGATAAGCTGGAGTGCCGTCCTGCTGGATATCGGCTTCGACAAGTCCGGAAGGACGTTGACCTCGGTTGGCGGACCTTCCTCCGCAGCATCGTCGAGACTGCAGTCTTCTCCAGCACCTCTCTGACGTAGTAGTCGGCGGTCACGGTCTGCTCACGCAGGATTTGGTGTAGCTCAGTGAGGGTCCTGCAGCTCACCATGCCCCAGACATGAGTCTTCAGCAGTTGCTTCACCGTCCCAGCCATCGGCACCTCCGAGCTGTTGTTGGCCAGACCCTGTCGTGCTGGCAGTCAGGGCCTTGGAGAGCTCGAAGGGTGATCCGTCACTGAACAGGACGCGTCGCCAGTCCTGAACGGACCCCTTCTCGCGGGCCTTGGTGAATTCCAGTCGCCGGCGCTTCTGGCTCACGGTAAGCCTTGGCTGCAGCCTGAGCTTGAGTGGCTTCGGTTGCAGGCTGGTCTTCAGACACCGGTAGACAGCCAACTTGGAAGCTGGGTGCTTCATTGCCGTCAGTTTTCTCGCCAGGGTTCTCGTTGAATGGCACCTTTTGAAGGCCGACATTGCAACGACTATTTTCGCCACTCGGCTCATGGCTGACTTCCGTCCATGACCAGTGTGGTTTTCAAGTGTCTCTCCTGAGTGGTCAGTAGCCAGCCAGCGCCTGATCGTCGCTACATTGATACCCAAGTCCCTGGTGACCTGAACCTAAGTCATGCCACCCTTGATCATCCCATCCCTACCATAGTGGATCATGGCTTGCACTCTTTCACCATTGGGGAAATGTGGACTCAGAGCAGTGGCTATCTCAAAATGTATTACTTCTCCCACCCCCTACAGCTGACATCAGGCTGGCTGCCAGGGTCATGTGACGCCTGACACAGGGAGATCCCCGGGGGCTAAGCACAGTAAAATTTCACTCATTCAGCATTCCTGAGAGGGAAATAACAGGTGGCACTAGTCATGTACAGTTAAAAATGAGTAAAACATCATCAGAGCCTGTATGCTATCATCTTTTGTAAAAAAGGCAATTAAATATGCAACTAAGCTGAATATTTAGTGTACCACCTATTAACTACTCAATGTCTTCTACTTTTTGGACAGAGCTGTGCCTGAAACCACCAAAATCTATCAAAAGATGCAACAATGCATAAAAATGCAACAATGCATAAAACCATATTTGCAACATGCAACAATGCATGCCCCATGCAACAATGCCATAAAAACCATATTAATGCCATATAAACCAAAAACCATATTTGTATACCAACTAGTAACAACCACAAACAGTTTCCCAACATCCTAAATTAGCATCATGGTAAACAAATGTGATAACAGAAACTCTTTTACATATGGAGTTTGTTCCTGTTGCTCATCTTATCTTCTCTACACATTGAAGCTTCTCCAAACTAACCTGACTATTCCCATGGGATCCAGGCACATACCTGCATAAGATTATGCCCTACCACATATTGTATTTAGCCTGGTGCAAATGACCATACTTAATGCTATGGCCTAATAGCTTAAAGGACAAAGTTATCCACCAGCATAAAAATGTTACCTAATTTTTACAATATTTAAATATTTACCTTCCAAAGCTCAACAATGCCATAGACCCATGAGCAAAATTTTAACAGCACCTAACTTGGCATGATGTGTACATAGGAATGGCATATGAGGCAGGGGCTAGCTGCCACCCCCCCCCCCCCCCTTCCACCACTCACTCCCAACTGCAGACAACACAGAACATTAATGCTGCAGGTGAGTGGAAAGAAACAACATGCAAATTATGTTAACCCACCATCTCAATAAAAATTGCTTCACTTATGTGGATATACCCATGCAATATATCAAATTAAGTAGTCAAAACACCTGTTTGGCTTTTCCCACATGAGTATAAACAAAATGTACCATTATCTCCATATCTTTCATACCTTAACTCTGATGCCAGTGTAAATCAGCTAGAAAGATGCAAAAAGTGTCAGAGAACTCCAAAGAAAACTCAATGACTGAAGTAGTTCAAAACATAATCATATTTAGGTCCTGACAGTAGGTGATACCTAATCTTCTGATGAGCCGCTCAAGGAACACCTGCCTAAACGATATGACATCCCCCTTGTCAAGACAGCTACAGCAGCACACGTAAGGTCCGTTTGTAAGTCTAACCCATTTTAACCAGACTTGACTGGTGCTTTACACTGGCCTCGCAGCGGCACCACTTGCCCTACCTTTCTCTTGTATGCTGCATGCAAATCTTCCCGTCTGCATCGCCTCGTCAAATGCGTCGTTTTAGCAACAACCAACGCAAGTTTGTGTAGCTCACAAATTGTGCCAGTTCGCCATTTGGTGGAGTTAACTTTAGCTATAAATTTGTCCTTTACGGCGTTTTGACACCAAATAAGAAGTACTCCAAATATTAACAAATCCAAACAATTTAAAGAGAAACTCTTTAATAAACATAGATTCATCAGTCTAGTTACATTATGCGTTTTCTGATTACTATACTTGTAGCTCTATGAAGTAGATAAAGAAAGGGAAGGCAGGGAGAAAACTTTAAGCACAATAATTACAAGTAGCTCCTAAACATTTTTCGCATTTTGTAAATCACGAATTTATTTGCAGAAAGACATCATAGGATGAAGTTTCAATTTTTTATACAATTTTTTAGCAAGAGAACATTATTTGTGGTGAAACAGCTCCTTATTTTATTAACTTCTTGGTGTTATCGAGCAAAAACCGCGTCCTTTCCGGCTTCTGCTGCACTGTGCAGGTGTCGCTGGCGAGCGCTAGCGGCTCATGTTGTCTGTGCGTTCATCGTATATTGCGTGGCATTAGCAAGATCGGATTGGCGCGTGGGCGAGACTATCTGCTCAGCACTTGCTGCATGTGATTTAAAGGCACTTTGCTCTCATTTCAGGGACCTTAAATTAAGCAGGTGTGCTCTGCTCAAGTCGGTCGAATGTGCACGTGACGGTTTTCGTAAAGCGGTGTATATAATAGGTAGCCAGGACTGTTATTGCGTTTCAGTCTGGCTTTGGCATTCGTCCCAATGCCGAGAAAACACTCGCAGTTTGAGTGCTGATCATGCTACATGTACTTATTGTGCGTGTGAAGGCAACATCCAGCTGAGGTAAACTCAAGCTGCAGTATCCAGCATTTCGTGGCTGTAAATTTTTGGATCTATCGCACGTTATCTCAGGTAAGTTAATGTCTTGTTTTCTTTCGAAGGGACTGTCGTGCTTAAGAGAACCTAGCCCGTGCAACCTTCGGGGTCTAGTGAGGGAAAGTAAACGAAATTGATTGGATGCGCAGGTTTGACCTGTGGGGGTAGCAGGTATGCTCCTAAGTTGATGCACGTACGTAGTTGGTACCTGATATTATTCCAAGGCCTGTTTAACGTCCGTTTGTCTACGCAACAGTGGTGCGCTGAACCTCGTGCAGGTGGGCGCTGATCTCAGAACGGGCCAAATTGCGTTGAATATTCTTGTCATGTTTTTCTAAGTAAATATTTTCTGAGTATCTTTGCTAGAAATCACCGTCGTAGCACCACAATTCTATGGAGCATAGCTTTCCATGCGTAGAAATTGATGGCGACCCTGCGCCAAACTCTGAGCGCTCGGCTTTACAACGTATGTACGCCGAATTGCTGCCGCGAAGTCGCTGCTACGCCGGACGTATTCAACGTGCCGTGCATTTTTTTGCCGTGTGGTCTCTGGAGAAGCCACATGTGTGTTTTCCTTGGTGGGTTTTACCGCATAAATTGCCCAGTTACTGAAATGCAAATGATATACACAACTAGCTATTAAGAAGCAACAGCTACAACACAACCGTCAGTCAGTTAAGTTGTGATTGTCTCGTTATAAGTACATGTGCCTGGGTAGTTTTAAACTCGAGCTTCCTTCATTTTAGGTCAAGGTTAGGCAGCTATTTGATTTCCCTTACAGAAGTCGGTACCTCTCGTCCAATTCTTCTGTTGCGCGTGCGATGTAATTGATCTGGATATCTATCTGCTCCGATGCATGTGGGCCAGATGGTGACTGTTCTTTCCAATCGGTTTTTGCCATAGACGTTTGGCAACACTTTTTTGATACCATCGGTGTGTAGGGTTTTTGCCAAGCTTTCACGTCTCATTTGCGCGCATCACAGTGCACCATGTTGAACTAAAGAACACCGTCCGTCGGACAGTGTATTTACGCTAAAGGAAACAGAATCATGCAAGTCGAGCCCAAGTCTGTATGTTTGCTGTACTGCGTGCTTTGCAGCTGTAGCTTTTGTCGCGTACTCCATCATTCTTGTCCGTGCAGTCCACATATTTGTGCGTAATGAGTTTTTGATGACAATATGCGATAAGGTGTGGACGATATTGTGATGTATGTTGTTCGAGCTCGTCTCTGTCTTGAGTCTGTACGTCACCGCAGCGAAATAAGGCAGAGTGGCATTTAAAGTAATGAAATAATATTTTGCCTGTCTGTGTAATAGTTAACTCGTCGGTCTGTGTTTTAGCTGTTAGATAATGCCTATCACACATTGACATGTCAGCACCGTGTATACGTTTAGTTACGTTGCGTGCTGGGCCTTTCTTCGCCGTCTTGTACTCTTACATGTGCATATGTTCAGCTACTTTGAAAGTTTATCGCTGTATTGCGTTGTGCTTAGGCCGCAAAGTGCAAAATGAGACGGAAGTATCGCGTGTTTCCTAGTAATGGCGCGAGAACAACGAAATAAGTGGCGAATTTTAACGCACACTCAGTACCAAACGCATTTGTTCATGGTTTCTCCCAACACGTTTTTGACTTGAGAATATAAGTTTCTTGAACGCCGAAAAGCAGTGATGCTATTGCTAGATTCAGTCGACCAAGGAGACTTCAGGCAGTTGTGTGCTGTCTTAGTTGAAGGCTATAGTCAACCGCCTGGGCAGTCAAGAACTAGGGTGTTTTAATTCGAGCTCATTTCCTCCCTACACAGTCATGATTTTTAGCGACGTCAGGGGATTTTTTCAGTGCTCGACTTTTCACCACGGCTACGGCAATATAGATAATTTCTGAAGTGGGGACTTTACCATCATAAGTGCGTTTCAGGATATGGCGAAACGAAACATTTGCAACCCAAGCCAATCACGTACGGGTACTGAAATGTGCAACTATTCGTGGCTGTTGACGTGTTCAAAATATTCGTCACATGAAGGTAGCTGTACTGGTTTCCTTCCCAAAAGGGATGCGCTCATTTATTCGAGCTGAAAATGAGTCAGTGTTGTCTGCACAGATGCTCGTCAAATTCGCTGCAATGGTTATTATTACTGCCGGAACACAGACGTAGACGCAGACAAGACAGACACAGACAGAGTTACAGACAGCACGCCGGATCACTAGTCGAAAAAGTGAGTCCTTGAGCTAACTTTCAATACTATAACATTGGACGACGCACTTATGAACCAGGTAGGGTGCGAACATGCAATTCGCACCAACAGTGCGTATGAACTGACGGTACGTACGAACGAGCATACAATACGAGGCATTTGATGTCACAATCAAGTCAAAAGATAATAGCGCATTGTATGCATTCAACGTTTTAATATTTCTTCAGCATGTCCTAATAATCCTACAGCAAAAACCATGTTTTTGCATGATAGACGCTTTACGTGATGCTTGTGTATGGGCATTACGGATGGACAACGTTCGGCCAGCTAATGCTATAGACAGAACGCGTCGGCATCACTGCGTATTTTGGAACGTTAGGTTGTGCGGGTGCCCATATCTTTGTGCATTTTGGAACGTAATTTACACCACCACAAAATACCGCTATAAGTGGACTTTTACCACCTTGTTTTACGTGTTTCGGGGACTAACCCAGTTTTATGAAAAGCCGGTGCAATTGCTTGAAAAGGGGTGATTTCAAAACGCGTCAAGTGTCACTCTTACCTTAGCTGAGAAGAGGTCTCACGTTGGTTTAGAAAAGCCTGGGCGTTTAGTGTGAAATTTCCACGTTTTTGAAGTTTTCCGCACTTTGAGGAGCTCGTTTTAAAACACCATATTTTTATGATGCCTACGGATATCGGTAAAATGGCTAATGAATGTGAAAGCTCCGCGCAGATGGATTCTATTCTTGTAAATGATGTCCATGTGGCGTGTGCGGCGTGTGCTCATCTAGACTACAACGGGTGTGTTCACCCCTGCCGGATGAGGCGGCTCAGACGTTCTCCCTGCGTCTCATTGAAATCATCGTTAGGCCATTAAAATTATTGTGCCTACACTTCACGTATTTTAACGAATTTGGTCAGTTTAAATCACTATACATGCGGTAGGTCATGTGTGGTAACCTCGTGTTGGTTACGTACTGTTGGGCCGATGGCTTTGGCGAACGGGGTACATAGTTTGATGCACCTTTGCACATTGGACTGCCCGGACGACACTCGTCTGCGACATCATCTCTATCACCGATCTCGGCGCGCGTCACAGGTGTGTGTTTTAAATGTGCACAAAACGCATTGCAGTAGTTGCTGAGTACTACGTGAGCAACCAGCCGTGGTTAAAAAATGAACTCAAGTGTTGACAGTATACGATAAGTTGTGGTGTGTCTGTGAATGAGGAACTTAAATGACATCACTGCTCGTGTCTCCGCTAGGATCATTTTGGCGTGATCCCGTCATCCCTTTGCACTTAAACTATCGATCCTTCTACAGCCGTATGGCTGAGACGGACTTGGTCGGCAACAATCATAGAGTTGCATCGTAGCCTCGGCGGCTCTATCTTTTTAGCAGAGATCATACGTTGTACGACAAAGCTGGAACATGGTCGGGAGCGTACGCCTACATAAATATTGATGAAGCAGCTGCATGAAGTTCCAGGGCATGGCTATCGACGTTTTACGTCTTTATTTTTACGTTTTACGTACGTTTTACCTCTTGTCTAGCGTAGCTGCTGCATTTTAAGCAGTAGCAGAGATGTCACAATGTTGTTGGTTGTCATTGCTGTCACATTTGTGCATACATTGGTGAGGGGCTTACCCACTTACCATCATATAATGTGCCTCTTGCTTACTTTCATCAAAGAGCAGTTTGTGTCCCTAATTTTTGTGCACATGGTTCGTGTACATTTGTCGCTCTATGGTTTTATGCGACATGTGTTGCAATGCACGGGTTGAGCGTGGCGAAAAGCTACCATCGGCTGATGAGATAATTAAATGGCCAGGGAAGCGCGCATAAGCTCTTGGCTCTGGCGCCAACGCCCAGGAATTTCGAGATAAAAGATCCCATTGGTATGGGTGGGGCGCGCCGTGCCCGCGCCGTCCCTCCGCGCGCGCGGCGCCAGCTCGTGATCGGTGTGATAAACCGGCGCGCCGATCGCGGCGCGCTCGGCACACATGCACGGTGGCGAGCGGCCGGGCGGGAGGGCGGCGACAGCGGCGCGCGCCCGACCAGCGGTGTTACGGCCGGCGGCTGACGGCTCTCGTCTGCCCGGCAGTGCCGGCGGCATGACCACCCGACACTACGAAGTGCCGCCTCAGCTGGAGGACCTCCTGCTGGAGTTCACCGTCAACGTGCTGGTCAACCAGCCCGAAAACTTGGTGGCGTACGCCGTCGAGTACTTCACACGGCTCAATGAGAGTAACTCAAAATACGCCACCACCACCACCACCACCACCAGCAGCAGCAGCACCAACAAGGAGGCGCCGGCCGAGCCCGAGACCAACAACGTGGAGGATGGCGCGGCTTCGGACCAGGACGACTCGATGATGTCGGACGATGAAGGTGAGTGTCGGCGGCCTAGCCGGTCGCCAGTAGCGGGCCGGCTCTCGCGCCAGCTGCAGCGCCGCTGACCGGCGGCAGCGTGACCCCGCTCTGCCGGACCGGCCATTGCGTCCAGCGGCGTCCGGACCAGCCGCTCGCAGCCGACGAATGGGGGCCCATTTGTCGGGGGATGGGGTGGCGAGGCACTGTACTGATAGGACGACCCGTACCGTTATCATGATTGAAATGGAACACTATAGCTATCGCTTTGTTGGGCAATTTCTCTTCGGCAGTCCCCACGAAGTGGGACGTTACGATGAAATGTCTTGTGCGGTGGGTTGGAGGTATAACTGTTCCCGTTCTAGGTCAGATGCTGTATTCAGCGCATTATCGTCTAGTATTCAGACTTGCCTTGATGGTAGTGTTATTTTGAGTCCTGGTGAAAGCGAGCAAATCTCTGCTCGTGCAGTTCATAGCACAGAGCGTGTTTTTACGCATGAAAATAGAGACAATCGCTCTTACCCATTTGCACCTTGAGTTACAAATGATGGAGAAGCCTTGTATGACCTTAAACATTTACCACATGCTGCACGTTTTGATCTTGACCACGCTAGAGCTGATGCTGCCACATTTCTCTGTGATCGAACAGAGAAGAAAGGAGATGGATTACACGGTAGGTGTGACTATACATTGCCGGGAGGCGGAAAGGTTTGCTCAGTGTTCCAATCGCGGAGCCCTCTGTCCGGAAATGGTAAGACCTCCTCATTGTTCAATGTCCAGGGAAATCTAATGTAGTCACCTATTCGCAAGGCGGGTAAGAACAGATTGGGTCACCCCCAATAAAGCAGGCGAGAGCTGGCGAAATTTAGGGATTTTCTTTTCACCGGAGGCCGTGCACCCCTGTTTAGCCTCCCCTCACCCAGACTAGCTGCTCCCAAGAAAGCGTGTCAGCCAGATATTCAAGTGTTGTGGTCATATGTCCATGTCCGTTAGAAATCTACACAAAGCAATACATTTTTAACTCACATCAATAATTTTTTGCTTGTTTTCGCTTTGTAGTATGGCAGAAAAGGCATGTGACGGACGATTGCGCGAGCTATGGTGAAGTAAACTCAAGAGATACAGTCCGTTTCTGAAATGATGGGTACACTCTCCCTGCCCGGGTGTCAGAAATACAACTAAAAAGTTCGAAGTGTATTGTATTATATGATATGTATTATTTCATGTGTTTAGCGTGCTCTGTCACAAGAAGTGAGAGCACCTAACACATGCACGCCCTCCCCCAAAGTGTCGCAGGCTTTAGTCTTGGACCGCTTCTCTGATGGGTTAAAATTTCGGGAACGGTGTGGTCGCCAAAGATTGCCATATAACAGATGTTGCTGAAAGCCTGATATATGAATGGGGTTAAAATTTCGGGAACGGTTTGGTTGCCAAAGATCGCCATATAACAGATTTTGCTGAAGCCCTGATATATGAATGGGGTTAAAATCTGGGGAACGGTTTGGTCGCCAAAGATTGCCATATAACAGATTTTGCTGAAAGCCTGATATATGAATTTGCCAACTTAACACTTAACGTATTGGTTTGTCGCGGTGCTCACCAAGAACTAGATGTAGAATTTAGGGTTTTAATAGCCACCAAGGCAGCATGGTTACCAAACTAAGCTGTTGGCGGCTAGGAAATACAGCGACTGTGTCCCTCCACTGACCAATGTTATAGCTGTTGGGCGCAAGTTTAACACGTGCCTGCCCAGCTGTACTCAGCATCTCCGCTCCCGTTCTTGGGGACTGAAATCGCCAGATGCTGGAGCCATGACCAAGAATAATAACGCGTGCTCTTTTATCCGCAATACATCACTTGACGTTCCCTTTTATGCTTGTCGGAGTTTATTGTGTCCTGTGGCGAAGATAGCTTATCCATTTTACGATCAATTAGGTTATCGAGGCCAGCAAGAAGAGCCTTTCTTCGATGGCGGCCAGGTAGTCGCGTACCGTGGCCTTCCCCTCGCTCCATCCGTCTCAGCTGTGGCGTTTCATGCCCGGTACTCGATCCTGGTTCGGGAGGTTGCGCTCAGGCCGCGTGCGCGCCGGCCCCCCGGACAGCGGCGCTCCTCTGCACGGCCGGGCCGCCGCCCCAACAATTGGGTCGTGCCACCGCGCCGGCCCCGTCTCACGAGCGGTGCCCATTCGCGGCGGGGCGGCGGCGCCGGCGGCGTGCACACGTGGGCGCGCCGCGCGCCGTCAGCGCGCCGCATTGATTGAGCGGCGCGGCGCGTCCGCGCGCCTGGCGCGGCGCGGCGGCTCGGCGGGGCCGCCGCCCGGTCACCGTTCAGCGCCGCCGCCCGTCCGGCGTGGCTGGGGCGAGGGTCGCGTCGTGATGGTGGCGGGCGGCGGCCGAGCGACGGTCGTGCTCCGCCGCCCTGCCCGCCGGCGTGGTCCAGACGCCGGCGACAGGTCACACGCACACACACACACCCTGGCCAGTGGCCTCACAGACCGCGCCGGGGTCAGGTGTTGTGGGGGCGCCGCCCGTCTAAGGTCCTGGACCGCGGTTGCTATATGTAAGAAACGTCGTCGATGCGCACCAAATGGACAGGCAAATTTGCGTATGGTTTCAAGTGGTATGGTCAAGTCTACAAGACATCTTCTGCAATGGTTATGATCAGAAAAAGGGGGAAAAATAGATCACGCCATCAGTGGTGCTTACACGTGTTATGTGTGGATGTGGAGAAGCGCCACAAGCATCATATTCTTGAAAAAAGATAACGCCTCACGGACGTATGTCATACTGTACCTACCGCCACCCGTCTAGTAATACCATGTTTTAAAGTTTGTCTCACTCAACATCTTAATGGCGCTGAAATCTGATGAGCGTTGGCAGCGTCGGCACGTGTACGGCGCGCTATCCATTGACCATTGACTTGCCATGACCAGAGTACGTTACGGCATAAGCGGCGAACCGAATTAAATGGTGTAGGATCGCATTTGTGAATCGCCATTGCGAGTGACATGCTGGAAATAAACCTAAAACGATTTTTTCTGGCAGTAATTGCATACCAACTCAGGAAATGTCTTTCGTAATTCGAAGAGTATTCTGAAGTGCTGTCGACATTGCTGTACAATCAGGCTTGGGTACCCTTACCTGTACCATCAGGCCTTTTTCGGTTTAAAATCAGGTACACAAGTGAAACTCTGTTGAACATTTGCTGGATGTGTGGTCCAGCGATGGCCACATTCCGCAGCTCGCCGCACGACACATGTCAGACAGGCACCTCTCCGCAAACATCTGGCGGTGGCGTGGTCTGCCCACCGCCATACCCGGATACACGGTATCAGCTCCAGTTGCCACTTAATCGCGCCGCCCGCGCCGTGTGGGAACACACCCGCGTGACGTCAGACGACGCCGCGTGGGGGCCCGGGTGCCGACCCGAGCTGGGGCGGTCGGCCGCCTGGCGGGGGGTCCGACACTCACCTGGCGCCACCCGGTCAGGCGGACGGGTGGGAGCGGACCGGACGGGGCACGGCCACCTCCTGGGGGCCCGCGCCGTGTGTCGGCTGGTTTGGTGTGTCCTCTGCGAGGTCGGCAAAGGAAGGTGGTCGACGACGCTGTAGGGCTGGGAGCTGGCCAGCTCCCCGGGGCTGCCACGGCACGGCCTCAGCCGCCCCGTAGCGGCCGTCCGCTCGGCCGTTTCTCTTCGAAAAATGGCTCCCTGTCCCCTCCCCAACCACCGCGCCATCAATGCTGATGACGCTAGGCGGAGGCTGAACTTGCGCGTGTTCAAAACCTTCCCATTTATTCTCCACGGAAGCTGGAGCTGGTGATCGTCTCGGGCGTGTAAACCGGGTCTCCACCTCCACAGTTGAAGGCGCGCTTGCGGGCACGTGGGAGTGCTGGCGATTTCACCGGCAGCCGGTCACGATTCTGCAGCAAGAAGCGCATGGGTTGGAAGTATTTCGCCAGTGGTCTTGGCGCTCATCGTCTCGCTGCCGCCGTGTCGGTGGGGTTCGTAGCGCTCCTCCACTTGATCAGCAGTTCCCCTGTCGACGCCAATCGAACGTTATCCGCACAGAGGTGTCGGAGCGTGATAAAACGCCCTCCCACCGAGAGCGCCGCCATGACTTTCACCGCGCCGTCGGCGGGTGTATCGATAGGCAGACAGGGTGCAGGTCAAGCAGTGCACGCGGGACGCCGGCGCAGACACGCCGGTATGTTGGCAATGCTGCTGATCCCGTAGCTCACGTTGGAGTGGCGACCGTCGAAATGGCGTGTACATCGACGCGGCCGCGTCTTTGCCCGCCACTCACTATCGCTGTGTGGGGCCATCTGTGCTGACGGCTTTGTCAATATCTCACTTATCTCGTAGCCCAATGCAGCCGATTTGTATCGCACACATCTGTTGAGCATTAGTACACCATGCTTTAGGACGAGGAAACATTACAGCTAATTCCAGCGATATGCGGTTGAGGGCGACGTGATTTTGGTTGCTACGGCCGTGGAGTGGAGGACGCCTTGCGAAGGCTGAGTAAGATGCTTAAGGAGTTCCAGTTGATTTTATCCCTACTAGAATATACGGTTCCGTGTTTTGGGCTAAGGCCGTGGAAATGGATGATCTTGTGCCCAATCCAGTGACATTTTTGCCTACACGGTCAAGTTAAGAAGCTCATTCGGGTCGCTGAACGGGAGTCTCTTAAGGTGAAGCCTCTGCGCTGTGCTGCTCTGAACATACTGCTGCAGGATCCAGGTGATGTTCTGGAGAGCTGCGGATGCCTAGCGCGGGAACCAGTGTGTGCCGCTGCGGGCTCCAGCTGACGGCGTGGGGAGCTAGGGGTGCCGGACGTCGTCCCACCTCCGAAAGTGAGGGGTCGGTCGGTCCCTGGTACGCCTGGCTCGTAACGAATGTGACCCGAACGGCGTTGATTGGCCCGGGAATGCGGCCAGACGCTGCCGCTCTCCGGCTGTTGGAAATGTCCCGGCTGGTCGCGGCTGGCTGCTGGACCCGTTGGCCCGGACTGCGTGCGCCTGCCCCGCCTGTTGTCCATGCACCCGTGCTGACGGGTGGGGCTGACAGTGACGGGTCTGCGCTGGACGGCCGGACCGACCCAGCCGCTCTCTCCCTCTCTGGGGCCGGCCGGCTCCGTCAACACCAGAAGCTCTCACGGAACCGTAGGGGGATGGCTCGGCATATTGACCGTGTGTTGCTCGCAGTTAGTGCCTTGCAGCGCACTGCGCCGTGCTGGTCATTGGCAGATATTTTCTCTCATTTGTTCGTGCGTCGAGTGCCATGGATTATAAAGCGACATTGTCTAGTTTTATAGTGTTGCTTTCCGTCTTTCAAAACGTGTTGATTGCTCACGCATGCCACTATAGCGAAGCAGCTGGCGTTGCGTGCTATAGCCCACTTTGTCGTTAGCTGAAACGTGAGCGGCAGCCTGCGCCATTTCTCAAAAGGTTTCGACGTGTCAATATTGTGTTTAGGGGCATATCTTGAGACTGCGACTTGGAAAATATTAAATGATTTCGGGTCCTTTTCCGTTTTGTTCCCGATGTGCCAAGTGAAAAGCTTCACGGAGACAGTGTTGCCATGAGCTGTGATCACGAGCGTCGAATCTCACTGCGTTTGCCCACGTCCAGGAGCCGCATTGCCGGCCATGTCTCGTGTCGTGGCTGCGCATGTCTGGTGCCTGCTCCAGCCAGTGGCCCTGCTGGCGGGCGACACAGGCGGGCGGCCGCCGCACCCCTGACCCCCTCCCCCTGCCGCCGCAGCGCCGCCGCAGAACTGCACCTATCGCCGGAAGTCGGTGTTCGCCGAGGCCTACAACCCGGAGGAGGACGACGACGAGGGCCAGAAGGTGAGCGCGCCAGCCGGCGCCATCCGTCACGCGACGGGAGGGAGTCACGCCGGCGGGCGGCGGCCGCGCCCCGTCCGGCGGCCCGGCGGGCCGAGTCGAGAGCTGGCGCGCGCCAGGCTTCCGTCGCGGCGCCACCCGCGGTCGGCTGCTGGCCTCGGCGAGTGCGGCGGCAAACAGTGCTGCATCGCGGCCGAGCTGATGGCCTGTTAATCGCCAGCCGTCGGCGGCACCGGCGGCCCGCGCCGCCGTGCTAGCGCCGATCCAGCCAGCGCTCCACTTGGTCTGGTTTAGATTTATCGGCGCGGCGCCCTCCACGGCACTTGTTTGGGTGCCGCCGAAGAGTTTATGTACTTTCATGGCGCGAAAGACAACTGGCCCAGCAACTGACGATACGAACGTTTCTGACACCGACGTTGTATTTCCATGCAACTTCACAGTGAGTAGTTAACTGCGCGGTTTGTGACGGGTGAAGAACCGCTAGTAAGTCCACAGCTTTTTTAAGGTGTACATCGGTTGGAATTCCAATGGCTGATTGGAATAAGTCACGAGCCGGTGACTCTCCCAATGGCAAGCCCGCGGAAAACAGACAGGCAGACAGACAGACAGACAGGACAGGTAGACAGACAGACAGGTAGACAGACAGACAGACAGACAGGTAGACAGGGGCAGACGGGCAGGCAGGTAGACAGACAGACAGACAGGGGGGCAGACGGGCAGGCAGGCAGGCTGTCCCCACCATGTTTAATTAAAAACACGCCAATAAGCTGAACGTCGGCGCCGCCTAGAGCCGCGTTAAGCCGTGCGCTGCGGGCTATGACGCTGCAATGGACCGGCCGTGGGCGTGGACTGCAGCCGGCCGGCGGCGGCGGCCTGCCCACCGAGGGCCGACGCGCAGGCCGGCGGCGGCCGCCGCGTACGCGGCCGGCGAGGGACGGAGCCGCAGCGCCGGGCGGCCGACTTGTTGGCGGCGCAGCGGCGATAGCGCCGGCTGGCGATATATACCGGCCGCCGTATCGGCGCCGGCCGCCCAAATTGCAGCGCCGGCCCGGCCTATCGGTGTGCAAACACGCTGATCCGAGCGGCACTAATCGCTGGTGGGACACGGGCCACAGCCAGGGCGCGGTCGTTGCCGGCCAGGCCCTGCCGTGTGGCTGACCCGGCTCCGTGCTGACCGTCGCCAGTGGCCGGCGCAGCTGGCCAGAAGCTTGGCATTGGGACGGAACGAGAGGTCGGGGTAACTTAACCGCGATGGCGACTGTTCCTGTGCGGCGGGCGAACCGAATGATCTGTCGTTTGAACTGACGGCTGTGTTTTCGGGATGTTCGCCCTGCTGTGGCCGTCGTCGCGTCGCGTCCGCTGGTCGCGGCTGCGTCGTCTCCCGCGTGGATGTCAGCAGACCGCGCCGTGTGGGCCTGAGCTGGCTGGCGGCCATGACTCGTCCCTCGGGGAGATGCGGCTGCGGCGTTGTCGAGTGGCAGACTCCCGGGGCCACGTCCGCCGCCTCGAGGCTGCCATCAGACGTCCCGGGCGGCGGCGGCTATCGCAGCCGATCACACAGCCAGGCGGCGAGAGACGGTCGGTCATTGTACGGCCGTCGTGACGCTGGCAGCCGGCTCCTGGTGCGGAGAGCCCCGCACCGGCCCCGCGATCCCGGCCGGCCTGCGAACTCTGGGCTGATCCGCAGCTGGGGAGCTCTCTCTCTCTCTCTCTCCTCTCTCTCTCTCATCTACCCCCCCTTCTCTCTCTCTCCTCTCAGTCTCTCCTCTCTCCTCTCTCATCTCTCTCTCTCTCTCCTCTCTCTCTCTCGCGTCGCTCGCTCTCT